CATCCATTTACGCTTCCTTGGTGATTCATATCATAAAATAAATGTTCATTTTTAAAATGAACATTTCGATTAAAAGCTAGGGTGTTGTAAAACTTTTCATTGTGCCAGGGTTCAACAACAGATGTGTTTTCATGGGATCTTTATGAAAATTGATGACATGCGTGAACTACTGTGTGGTACTGTGTTTGGGGCCTCATAATTTTTCAGCATGTGCCACTGGGAATTGCTTGTGCGTAGTTCCTATCCCACCATGCTGCATTTTGTTTGGGTGTGTTCATTTGTGGAAGCTGATGTTTCTGAATTTCTAATTACTGCATGGCTGATGCTTTGTAGATTCTTAAGTGTATGTCAAGGAATGTTCAGCCTTTAATCAACAGCGTTATATTTCGGATGAATCCGCCGCAGAGTTGCTGTAAAAGTGTTTTAGAGTACATTTTCTAGGTCAGAACATGTTAAACGATTGATTCTCTTCATTGTTTATCTCTTTTTTGCTCACGAAGAGTACTTCGTATTGATTATCACAATCATAAAAGTAATTTACTGTATTGTCTGAACTATCATAAATTAGTTTTGCACCGGATTGTGCTCTTTAGAATAAGCACTTGTTTGCTGGTACTGATCTTAATTGCAAAAGCATATATGCTGTTCCACTTTTTCGCATTTACAGACAAAGTGATCATTCCAAATAAGACTGTAGACACCCAAATACTGACTAGACATTTACTTGTGGCAATGTACAACTTTTTTTCTTTTTCTTTTGTACAACTTGTACTTAACTAAGTCCCCCATGTAAAGGCATGAAATGTGTTTAACCTTTTGATGCATTCGTTAATAAATGTGTTTTAAAAGTCACAACAGTGACCACTGTAGTAATTCGTACAATAAGGATTGTAATTTGTAAGTAAGCAAAAAGGATTCATTTTTAAACCACTACCCAACAACCATATTATGAACTTATAAAACAACATACTATTATCTGAAATTATTACCAAAATCATTCCTTAGATCCTATTCTATTGATCATTATATATATTCTAAGAAGTGCTTTGTGCTTCACCACTTCCATGCTGAATTTGTCTTATACATTAAAAAATATATAAAATTACAATGACATATAAAGTGGAGAATTGTATGGAATTATATGTATGGGTAAATGATGGTGGTTTTAACCACCATGAATGGTTAAAAATGACCTTTAACTAGTGGAGGATCATAACACACCAACTATAACCAAGGATAACAATGCCACAATGTGGACTTTCATGAGTCAGCAAAAGCAATTGCTTTCCTTCCCAGAAGCTGGGATGCAGTAGGGTTAGGAAAACTACTTTAAATGTATATTACACTCGGGTCCTCAAGTTCAAACGCCAGCCAAGGGAACCACCCTTGAGCATACACTCGGTTTAGTGCCAGCATGGCAATATTGTTTTACGATTCCAAGATCTGTAAATTTCCTGACCGATTATATAATATTTAAACTCAATATCTTAATTTTCCCTTAATTAATACATTTGAGCTAAGAGTTTTCTATGGACAGCGACCAATGTCATGGAGTCATTAGTCCTTATAGTCCCACTCATTATGTTAATAACCCGTAAGTAGAAGATAAACAGGTTTCCATTTGAGTACAGGAGTATGGCGTGTTCATGAATCTATATTTAATTCTCAAAAACATCTGCATGCAAAAGGCCCCATTTACTGCAGGATTAAAGCCAGTTCACCTTGCCAGCTTGCATAGCTCTTCTGCATACTAAACACATTTTGTTTTAGGCTTTAAATAGCACTCTGATGACAAATTGGTAGGCAGCTAAAGTTTGACATCCACTGTTACATGTTAATTAGACTAATTGCATGGCCGTCAAACATGCTAACAATGAGCATTCAGTCCATTGTGTGACGGCACGACGGCTAGACAAAGCAGAGTGTGCTGGGAATGAACAAATACCATGCCCTGCTGTGGGATTAATCTACACGCCACACTACAGGCCATGTCTGGGAGCCAGGATGCATGGTAGGAGCCTGTGGTCTTCGCCTCTCCGCCGGTGTCTCCAGTGGTCTATGCTGTGACTATCCCCTGGTGGCCTGGCTCCAAAACCGAAGGTAAAGAAAGCTATGGAAATGACAGCGTTGCTTATAGAGGTTGAAAAATAGATATGTTTTGATCATCCTTTGAGCTTTATTCTCGGATTTACTCCCTATAGCGTTAGTTTCTTCAAGGAAACTGCAAATTAGAGATGGTTCTATCTTTATGCTTTTTTGGTACCTCACCATTATTGCTATCCAAAGGTTGCAAATTAAGATTCCCCTTGTGTCTCAGCAACCACTGAGGCCATGAAAATGTGTCATAAAGAATATGTTGCAATCATTTGTGGCGTATTTGCTAAAAGTGTCCGAGATGCACTTCCTCTTATATACAGTACCGCTTCCCATGGTTGTATTTAAGCAGCTACCTACCTGGTGCTACCAGTATGCGCTCACAGTGTGATGCGTTTTTGTTCAGATGCCCAACAGATGTCTCAGGATTATTGCATGTTGGCATCGCTGGCACCAACAGCTGACTGAGCATTTCTGTTTTTGTCTTAAGGAGGTAGTTCACCCAAAATATATCTGTCAATATTAACTCACACTCATGCATTTCAAAACCAATATGTTGGTATTTTTCCAGAGGAACGCAAACACTTGAGTTCATGGTGTTGAAGAGCTGTCAAGCTCCAAAAAGGAAAGAAAAACAAGTCGCTGACTTGTCTTCTGAAGCCAAATACTGAAATTTAGATATTCAAAATGGATTATTTTTACCTCTGCCAAAATTTGGATCTAGCTTGTGTCCGAATAAAAAAAATATAGCACATTAATGTCATTGACGATTCTTTTGGAATGACATTCTATAATTAACATATTTATTGAGCAGGTTAATGACACAAGTTTTACTATATATATACACACACATAATGTTACGAACAATATCTACAATACACATAGTATCATCAATTAACCAACGTGTTTTCTTGTCTGTCATGACACACTCCGTCATAAATCATAAAATGGCACCACTTCATTTATATGCCCATTAAATTTAAACACAAAGTATAAAACTGAATCTGGTTTGAAATGCAGGGTACGTTTCCAATGCATTTCGAAATATCTACTGAATGTTTTGAAGTAAACACCAGCATTTTAGATGTCTGCTTTTATATTTAGAAGCATGAAAGGAACATGTCTTTGTTTTTTCCTCCTTTCCTCTGTCTGTGGTGTAGATATTTATAAAGAGGGACCAATGACTGGTTCTCTACCACAATTTGTTCTGTAACTGTTGATTTTTGCATCCATCCTGTTTCCTCAAGTGTAAAATGGCCATCTGTGCAGAAGCCTTTAAAGATCCCGGGCTCCTCTCCAGGGGACATGCTGACCGGCCATATAAGCAAGGATCTGCACCAGATCGCTTTATTATTTGAGTATTTGTGAGCATAAATAACATCTGAAAGGTCAAATGAAGCTAGTTTAAATCAAACCTAAAACTGCTGCAAAACTGCAAGCTTGTGGGTTTGTAGTCTGCTTAGCCATGAAATGTCAAAACATTGAATGCCCAAAGAGGCAGCTATCAAAGAAGGGAGGGATCCTAAAGTAAACTCAGAGTCCACCCAAATGACCATCGGCCCGGCCCTGTACACAAATGAACAGCTTTAACCGGGGGCAGAATGAGTCACAGTCAGTGTGGTCAACACATAAATACAGTGCATATTGAATATTATACACTCTTTGTTGCACACATATGCACATACTTTATGCATAATCACTTTGTTTGCCCTAATGCACAATTGCACACTAAAGCATGTGCGCACACTGTTTGTATTGAACTTCACACATAGCAAACGAATAACATCCTGTCTGGATGAAATATGAAATACACAGTGTGTGTGTGTATATATATATAGTGTGACCTAGACATGGTTTTGTGAGTTTGTGAGAAAACACACGTGCTCTCAAAATGCATCCCTTTGGCTAATTTGGCCTATGAATAATGCTTATGAACACTCTCCATATAGACACTAGATATATATTTAGATACAAATAGATAGTTTGTCACATTAATGTATATTTAATCTTTGTTTAAACGCCACTTAAAGCCAGAGAGTAGCAAGACATTTATTCAAAGCAGGAATTGAAGCAGAGGACTTCATGCAACAGTGATTCACTTTGACATATCTGTTCGGTATATATTATGATTCACGTGTATAACATATTTGAGGTGTTTTTCTCATTTATTTTGTCATGTCCACAAACTAAACAGTCTGGTCTAAGAATTTGTCCACATAAGGTGGCTTGTCTGGAGAGCACCATCATGTTCTGAAGTGGTGTGTAGCCTGGGTTTGTCAGGCTGCCAGTTCCACACACCATGCTTGGGCTAGAAGCAGACAGAGCTGAGCCAACCCAGTCCAGTGGGTGTAAAAGACATGTCGACTTGTTTATTATATAGTTTGTTCTCTGGCACCCATGTCGAGGACTATAGTATGCAAAGCTCATTTCAGCCTGGTCATAAGACATACAGCCTCAATGAATCTATATGAAGCATGAATGGACATGGTTGAAAAGAATAGTTTATTCTTATTTATACTGGCATGCCTAGGCTTTGGCTTGTACTATGTCTGTTATTTGCAGAGAAAGTACTACAACATATTTCAAAAACCAAACAAAAAACATTAATGATAAAATGATTTTATTTGAAATTTGATATTAAGACTTTGATTCAGCAAGGATGCATTGAAATTGTGAGAGTAAAGCCATTTATAATGTTACAAAATATATATTTTTTAATAAATGCTGTTCTTTTGAACTTCATATTCATCAAATTACCATGGTTTCCTAAAAATGTTAAGCAGCACAACTGTTTTCATCATTGAGGATAATAAGCAGCAAATCAGCATATTAAAATTATGGATCATGTGACACTGAAGACGAGAGTAATGATGCTGACAATTCAGCTTTACCTTCACAGGAATAAATGACATTATAAAATATATTGAAATAGAAAACTTTAAAATGTAAAAGAGCTATTTGAAATTGTAATATTATATATTGAGTCCTACACTACGGGTATTCAATTTTACAGTATCATCCCAGCTACTGTATATTGTGATGTAGTAGAAGTGCATTGTAGGCCTATGGACAGTTGTTGTGGTTTCCTGTTGGTGTTTGTGGCTAGCTTAGCTTGCGCCATATATTCTCAGCAATTTGTCCTAGTAATTGGCTTGCTGTCCAAGTAATTACAGTCTTTATTGTAAGCAACCTAGTAAGGCAGCATCTGCTAGGAGAATAAATGCAGTGTAAATGGGAATAGGTGTGAATAATAGTGGTTCTGTTGTTCAGTGACCGCTTTCACCACCGTGACAGGAAATGTGTGTCAGCTCTCCTGCCGGCCTGCGCAGGAACTCGGGCCCTGTTAGACGTTTCTGGCATGAATGGCAAACACATCCTCTGTCAACTCTGATTTTTTCATGCGTTGCTTCCATCTGGGAGCATAAAGAATAACATTAGCATTGCTGTTTGGGTTAAAACTGAATATTCAAGATGCTCTTTTTACATGTTAAATGGCTTCATTTAGAGTGCGTCTCACCCAGGCATGCTTGTGTCTTAGAGTTTCCACCTTGGCTAGGCTCATCTCCAGACCTCTCATTCGTTTGTCATGCACCGTTCCTCTCATTGATTCACACAGGAACCGCAGGACCAGTTTGAGAGACCAGGAGCCCGGCAGCACCCTCAACACGCTGACTAAATCAAAAGACGCTGCATTTTGGTTCAGCAGGTCCACGGCTGCGATCACATGATGAGTGGACTCGAGGTAGATTTGAAGCAGGGTGAGGAACATTCCCTGTGTGAACTTCCCGTCTCGTCCAGCAGAGGTCCTCCAACAGTAGCTTACAGCAGCCTGCTGGTCTTTTTCTTCATAGACCAAAACCTGCAGGGCCTTTTTGTGTTTACCAGATTTCCCAAGCAAAATTGCTTTCTCCACATGAAGAGACGAGGATGTTATTTGCTCTGTGACAATAAAGGGTATAGCAGTTTATTTCATCCATGGACTCTTTGCATAAGGAACTGAAAACATCATTTGAAGTACACTCTCAGAAAAAAAAGTTACAAAAGCTGTCACTTACAAAAAGTACACCTTTTTACCTTATTTACTCCCAAAGGGTACTGCCCCAGTGACCGCTTTTCTAAATTTTTCCTGACAGCGTATCAAAGGTCTTTATCCGCATGTTTTTGTGCTCACCATATATAGTCTCAGCATTATATAAAGAAGATTGCCAGAGTAACATCTGTAGTTTATGTCTCATCTCTTCCCTGCTGGTTTCATTACTGTAGTCAGCCTCGATTGACTGCAGTATCCATTTGACGTATGATGAGCTGAGCATGGCGTGATGCTTTTCCTCCTGTGAATAGAAAATGTGCTTCTTAAGTGGAATTTTCAGTCAAGGAAAACTGACATTAAAGAAGTCATGTCATTCATTGTTACATACATTTTGTCACTGAGGTCCACTTATAATGTCTTTTGCATTGTAATTTTTCACAATTATTTTTCACCCTCTTACTGACATACGTGGAGCTTGTGTAAGGCTGGACAAGGCTTGGGCCCTGTCCCAAATAGCACCCTTAAACACCCGGGCACACTTCTGAAACCCAAAATGAAAAATGGGACACAGTCTTGTGGACTCTTGTGGACACAATCAAGTGGACATGAGATATGCCATTTGGGACAGGGCCTTAGCCTTCCCCTGGCCATGGACTTGAGACTAGCGTGGAATTATCTCACTCAAAACATTGCCTGCTGTTGCTTCTGAATGCTTTTCGAGGGAAACGTGGTCCCTAACTGCTGGGATCCGTTTTCTTTATATTAATAGCAAATTGGCTAAACATATTTGGGAAACAATCCAGTGCGTATATGTCTTTGCGCTCTGGAGAACGCAATGGCCAATCAGCACTTAACCAAAACTCTGGTGTTTCTGACTCCTGCACGTTCACAAATCCTCTCTTTATAATCAACAATTATGTAAATAAGAGATTCATTGTGGAGCCAGCTTCATTGATTATAACAGAACCTTGTGAGATCGCAATGAACTAAGATGAGTGACAGCTTTTTAGGGATCAGTTTGCTTGCTTTTCTGTTAAAATTAACAGTGATTTGTGAACAAATAGCAATTTATCTGGAGAGTTTATGCTGGGATATGTAAGTTGTTGCTAGGCGAAACGTAACTTGGAACTATTTCAAGGAAATCTATTTAAATATGTTTTTAAAGGGGAAGCGCATCTCCTTAGCCTTACACTGGAGTTAGCTGACCCTCCGCCTATACATGCTCACTGACCATTTTTAAATAGTCCACATTTTGCTGCTGTGCCTTTAAGAAAACGTCCCGTGTTATTTAATGAGAGAAATTTTACACTATTTCAAACATTTAACTCTTAAATCACACCAAGAACAATAACTATAAAGATAGCTATAACGATATTAGCGTCCACACCAACGCACGACATCACTCTGTTTATTATAAGCACACTCTTCGCTTCTGTCGTCTGCTGCTCGACCTCTTTAAAGCAGGATACATTCTGATTGGCTGTCAATGTTTTTTATTTATCTGCTTGAAAAATGTTGTGAAAGTGATTCCAGTAATGTTGTTTCTCTGTGCCGGTATTGTTCGTTGTGATTGTGGACTCTGTTATTCTTTTAGATTTAGAACAATTTTTAAAACTATATTTTTATTGTTGTAGTTATGGTCCCTGGTGTGAATGGGCCTTTATCGTTGGTTCATCCAAATTTTAGAGTTCTATCTGTATTGTAACCATGGTGATTTCTGTTTGAAACTTGTTACTCTTTAATTTAAGACTTAACTTTCTGTAACGTTCCTGAGACTTAGAAATAATAGCATTTATCCTGCTTTCTCCTTATTACGTCACTGTGAATGACCGGGTGAAGTTTCTGATCGCCCAGTGCTGATGTGTAAACACGTGGACGGTCATGTGTTGATGTGATGCCACAGAATTGCAGATGTTCTGAACAAGTTTTTTTGCAACTTAGTTCCAATAAATCTCTTTTTGGACTGAGGAGGAAGCGTTTTGTTATGAATGTTACAATTTTTTTTTATACCAGTGTTGTTTTCATTAACTAAACCTAAAACTATTATTCACATTTCTGTTAAGTGAAATAAAGCAAAAATAAAATAAAAATATTATATGAAAAACGTATTTTAGTTAGTTGCCATTGCAACATTTCAAATTTTCCTTAAGTTAAAGTACTAAAATTACAAACTGAAATAAAAGCAAAGCGAAAAAAATATATATTTTTTAAAAAATGACAAAAGCACATAACACAATTAGTAAAAATGTAACAAATTAAAACGAAAACTGAAAAAATAATTAAGTAATAAAATCAAATTTTAGATATTAATAGATAGTATACACATACTAAAATTACACTGTTTCATATATATAAGCTTTTTGTAATTCAATGTAGGCTAAATCTGATTCCTCATGACCCTACAAATCCTCATCATGCAGGCTACAAGCAGAATAGTACCTTGCTGTGTAATTCATTGACTAAAAATTCCAAGTAAAGAATCATGGCAACTGCGTAGTTGGTGAGAATGGTAAGGACTTCCTCCGGTGCAAACATAATGTGGCTGCTTGCATGCATCTTTGTAAAGATCAGTATTCCAGCCTATATTAAAATAAAGAGCGTGATTTAGAAGCATTTCAAACACATTGCTGGCAATGCAATAAATCAAATACTGTTCAAAATGCTGTTTGGGGTCAGGAAGATTTTTTTTTTTAAAGAAATCAATACTTTTATTAGGACACACTCAATTGATCAAAAGTGATAGTAAAGACTTTTACATTGTTACAAAACAAATCTATTTTAGATAAATTGCTGTTCTACAGCTTGTTTGTTCAAATTCTAGGAACATAATGTTGTTTCTTTTATATTGCCATGCCAGGGGCATAACAGTAAACTAAACTAAATGAAATCTGTATAACTCTGCCCTCTGCTGTTGATAAACAGTATATACTTGCCTCTTGGTCTCTCTGAAGAACCCAGTCTACAAACTTCCAGATGATGGGTTTATGTTTCAGATTTGAGAGAGTATTAACTATATGCTGGAAGACACTGATGTGTAAGGGGTCTTCGCTCTGGTCCTCCACAATTTTAACCCAGGTCTGAAAAAAAAAAAGAACTTGCTTACTTTCCTTCCTGATTCATCAATACTCATCGCTCTTGATCTTTCAGTATGATTCAAAGATACCTGAATTGCATTGAAATGCTGGCCTTGGCTTTGATAGAGCAATCCAAGTGTGAAAAACCTGAAATGGCAGGAAATTATTTGGGCTCTTGAGTGCACTAGAAAATAACCTGTAAACGCTGAAGTAGCTTCAAACGATGAGCACAAACCTTTTGTGTTGCTCCAAGTCAGGCACACACATTTGGAGATTACAGTCATTCTGCGACGACACAAGCTGGTCCAGTTTTTCATATTCTGCTTGTTCCAAATACAGCTTAAAGAGCGCAGAGTCAATGTCCCGAGGACATATTTGGCCCTGTCCTGTTGGCCTGACTTCTCTCAAGAAGTCATCCAAAAAGCTTAGGTATTGCTGAAATGTCGGCCAGTCGTCTCGACTTAACGTCCACAGGTCCTTGGCATTGCTGACTGCTGTTGTCTGAGGTGTAAAGTCTTCACTCACAACAGGCATAGCTGGATAAAGGCTAATGATTTCCCTTGGGTCTAATTCACCTTTACTGGAAAATAAAAGATTACGCGGAACAAAAATTGGTTTCGGATTTACAGTACTTACAGTTTTCACTTAGAAATTGCAAGTAAATTTCACAAATAATTAAAAAGAAACAGCAACACATTGATTTATATGTGAAATGTCAATGACTGAAATAGTATTTTCTTATGAATGTACTCCAATAATCTGTCACAATTTACTACAGTGTAGCTGTGTGGTCATTTGCAGTATTCATTTATTTTTAAAGCAAAAGCTGTCAAATTGGTTTCCCAAAAAATTAAATGTTAAAGCATTACTTACATAAAAAGCTCCTTTGCCTCCACAAAAGCCTCTCTGTAGAACTGTATCATTCCAGATGTACAGATGACATTTTTATGTAGATCCTAAAAGTAAAGAATGACATGAAGGATTGAGATATATGAGATTTATCTTAGCTGAGCTGTTGTTTTGTCATAACCATGTGTCATCTTCCTCTCCAATATATATATATATATATATATATATATATATATATATATGTGTGTGTGTGTGTGTGTGTGTGTGTGTGTGTGTGTGTGTGTGTGTGTGTGTGTGTGTGTGTGTGTGTGTGTGTGTGTGTGTGTGTGTGTGTGTCTGTGTGTGTAAAATAATGTTAAAATAATATTAAAACAAACATGTATATATATAAAATATTAAACTTAGAGCACATTTAATTCTAAAATCTTGTAGTACATTTGATGTGAGCTCATACATACAGTCTGTGAACTAATGCATCTTTGCTTAATACCCTTGTAAGATGATTTTCAATCCTAATGGAATGACATCTGTGCATCTGGTTCAAGTGCTCATATGAATTACCTTTGCTCAGTGTGTCTAAGAAGCTCAGCCACAGACCTACTTATTTTCACTGACCCCATGGCACCATTAAAGGTATTATGTGTGGTTTCTATGCATTAAGCATTTATTCTCATTCTCATATGAATCTGTTTTTTAGCAAAATATACCTACTCATTAGACATAATCCATGTGTTAGCATATGATGAATTAATGAGGTATTATTGACATCAATGGGTCAAAGAGCATGGTCCATTACCCCCTGCTGGTAGATGCTGTAACTACACCATTAATCTGTGTTGTTTCTTTATTGATGACCATTCTAAAGTAGCAGTGTATGCTGACAATATGTATGTATTGTGTAACAAAGGCCAGCTAGGAAAGAAGATAATAGGAAACTCTATCTATCTATCTAGTCTGTCATTATTTAGTGCCATTGAATGGGGGGTATTGTAGACTTCCTTGATTAACACTGGCTTATGGATTACATCTTAAAGGAAGATAAGACATAAATCCACTCTGTTTAGTACTTTATCATCAGTCTTACCTTATACGAATCCTTTGGCAAGAGATCTTGAACCCTGTCCAGCAGTGTCAGGGCTTCATCAACTCGCTGTCTCTTAACCAGCTCTTGAATCTGATCCTCCAGCGGAATTGGTGACAGCCGGTGAATCTCTTTGTCAGCAACAACGAAAACACTTTCTAAAGTGAAAGAGAAGTAAAGAAGAAAGAGTTGGGAAATAGTTAAAAGTGTGCCATTAAATGACTGTATAATTAAAAGTATGATAAGATATATTATTATTATTAGGGGCCGTTGACAGTTTTCAACTAAAACTAGAAAAAATGTGCCTTGGTCGTTCATTTACACAGCAACAGTGTTTTAGGGGCCTGAAACCCCAAACTTTTGAAAACGGGTTTCAAAGTTAAGTTTTTGAATACGATGCCGTTATTGTCTGTATAAACTACAAAAACGCGAATTTGTGGAAATGGTGACATTATGCACATGCATATTACGTGTTCAATCCATAGGCATGTAGTGCATCTTTGTAAAGTGACATCTCCAACTACTGGCCTGACAGAATAATACAGCGTTTATAGTCGTTTTCACAGATCTGTGTGAACGGGAATCGTTTTGACAACGTTGCCCTCTGTACCTGAAAAACGCAAAGGAAAAATGTTTCCATTTTAGTACATCGTTGCAAACGTACACTTATCCGTTTACACAACACCGTTATCAACTAAAAACTTTTCTATGGGTTTTGGTCGTTGATTTACAAGACAACAGCGTTTTGGGGGCCTGAAAATGCAAACATTTGAAAACAGGTTTCAATGTGCAAGTTTTTAAAAACGATATCATAATTTTGTAAACTACACAAATGCGAATTTGTGAAAACAGTGAGGTAATGTGCATGCGTATTACGTGTTCAGACTGTAGTGTATAGTGTCTCTTTACAAAGTGACATCGCCAACTACTGGCCTGGCATGATTAATACAGCGTTTTTAGTCGTTTTCCCAGATCCGTGTGAAGAGGGATCATTTTGGCAAAACTGTAGTCTGTACACGAAAAACGCAAAGGAAAAACTTTTCCGTTTTTATCAATACAAGTCAGTATAGGAAGCAACACGTTTTACTTCTGTGGTGTGGCATATTTTGTGTGAACCAGTATAATTAGACTATTAGATTCTATTTTTAAAATGTAGCAGAACTTAAATATACGAGCAATCAAGAACGATTATGGCGCCTCTGAACTGACTGATGAATGATGATGTTGGATTGTAAAAACGAACCTTCTGTTGATACGAGAGATTTGGCACTTTGTAAAAGGACAGTTTGCTTCAGCTGTTGGTCCAGAATGCTGTAGATATGAACAGTCTGATTTTGTAGAGCCAGCACATATGGGAAATGCACTGCAGCGTCCACCACTCCATCAGGCCACTGTACAGGAGGATGCTGGGAAGTACCATTCTTCATCACAAACATGCCTGCATAACACATAGGCTGCTTTTACTTTGTTACTTTTTAAAGCAAATAATTAATTTGCACAATAATTAGCTCTCAATGTGTCAAGTGTTGCAATTAAAAAACAAATCTGTAATTAAATTATAAAAAAAATATTTTCAGAAGTTGCTCTTTTAGATAGTTCAAGTGAGTTAATGGAGTTCTCGCTAAGTATGAGTTATTTATTCTAAAATTCCTTTGAATTAGGCCAAACTCATTGAAAATAAAAGGGAATTAAAAAGTAATAAAAAACATAAATAAATTAGGCAATAATTTAAATACTGCTATAATTGCTAAGGTGCATAATAAGAGAACAAATGTAATGATAAATGTTTTTTGAATTATTTTGTGTTTGACTTTTTAAAAATTCTTACCCAAATTTCCAGGCCCATTTAAAATGAATTCTCCTTTTCCACATTTGTTGGCAATGATATTTTGTTTTCCCAGGTTATGTTGGAAAAGATCTAAGGTGGTTTGGCTCTGATAATCATGGAGCAAATATCTGTCACAAGTGGCCACACACAGACATGTCCCATGCGCAGCCAGAACCACAGGCTCCTGCGGCAGAGCCACCTGTCTCACGCACTCCCATCTGTCCACACACACCTTATAAACGCTCACTATTTTCCTCTTGGCTGAAGCTGCAATGAGCTCGACTGAATCAGTCTGAACCACTGACTCACTGACATAGAAGAGTGACACGTTCTGGATTTTCTTCAGGGCAGGAATGGGTTCCAGGGAGAACATGTTAAGCGCCGTGACTGAACCATCCCAGAGAACTAAGAGATGGTTCAGAAAAGGGACCGCCGTCAGCTGGCCGATCGCTCCGCTCCGGCCCATCTGTCTCTTCCCCACCTCCCGTACTGAAAGGCTTTCTTCACCGCTCACGCTATTTACAGTGATGTACTCGATGAGTCCCTCTTTGGTCCCAATATAGAGGTTTTTGCCAAAACACTCCAAACATTGAATACTGGATTTGTCTCTGCCTCTCCCTGAGGGTATTTTTTGGAAGACTAGCACAGGAGTAAAGACTTTCATGGTTATTTACTCTTAATTTAGCTCTCAGTGGCACTTCAAAATAAATGAGAAACCTAGTAAATTGGGTAGAGAAAGAAAACAGCCTTCATTAGCTCAGAAATCTACAAAGCAAAAACATCAGGTTAAATAATAAAAATACAACCAATTCAAATAATATTTCCCATATATACAGTGTTTGTTAGCCACAATGGTAAATGAAACGAGTAAAGAACGGTCTCACCTCATTAGCGTAGAAGCTGTCAGTGTTAGGGACGTTTCTTTTTTGCTCAAGTGTATTTTGACCTTACCATGTGACTCTCATCCTGGGAGGAAGTTGGTGTCAGCAGTTTTACTGCTTTTACTCTGATGGCTCTGAATAGGCTGGTTGCACAACGCCAAATATCCAAGAAAGAGACACAAAGACATACAACCTTTGGTTAAACATTCCTTGTATACCCTAGATCCAAGTTTTCCTAAAGTGAATAGTCTAAAAGTGGATTATATATAAAGGTGCACTCAGTAATTATTAATAAATAAATCATACATTTTTGACAAATATGTTTAAATATGTCTTCCAGGCCCGCCGACAGGGGGGGACAAACGGGTCTGTTGTCCCGGGCCCAGTGTAGGGAGGGGGAACCAGAACTGGGCCCTCATTAAATTATGGAATAATTGTTAAAAAAATAAATAAAATAGGCATATTTGTTGAAAAAAATCTAGTATTTGAGTTACATAAAAGCTTTTTATTCGTTTTCTTCCTAATTGTCCTTGAAATAGTGGTCAATAACATTAAAATATGTTTAAATATGTCTTCTACACTTACATGAGATTAGAGGTGCGTTCACACCATGTCATGATTACCATAATTACTACTTGGAGCTGTTGGACTCGATAAATACAAATCCAGAATACAGTAGTATTAGTCAATGTGCAAATGCCTTTTAAGATGATTTATCTTGCAGGGCAGACATAGTCCAGCTCTTTGCTGCTTGCTATATTTTATTTTCAGACATATTTTGCATTACCAATAGTCAATTATAGGAATTGAAGTGAAACTTAAACAGAAAAGTCTGTTGAAACCCCATGAAATCAAAATGGGTATTTTGTGTCCTTTAGCGTTTATGCTATATGCCACAACAAAATAGCCGTTTTATGCATGTCTTTCAAACCAAAAATATCAATGGCTGATATTGTTCCCAGAGATGTATAAGTTTAGCTATAAGCTTAGATGCCCACTATATAGATAAGTGGACGCTGAGAATCATTCCCACCTTTCACCTCATTCATAGTGGCCATTAATGTATGCATTGTAGTTGTAGTATGAGGAAGTGCATGTTTATGTGTCTTTAGACTTTAAAAAACAGGCAGTGACAAGAAGAAAACATAAGTTTATTGACTAAAAGCGCACTTTGTGTGTGCTTGAACTTTTGAACTTTTCAAACATTTTCAATATTATTCCATGCTTTATAAGGACAATTTTCGTAATCTTATTAAACAAAACATTAAGCATCCTAATCAGCAGGCGACACAGATAATTAATCTATTCATTGTTCATGTTTATTCATCATTCCATTTATGTGAGCAGAAATCCAGATCTAAATCTATTTTGCCCTCAATAACTTTCCTGCAACAGTTGGACGACTGTGCTGCTGTTGTGGTTGTCTGACCCTGGAGCTCATCACTTCTCCCTTCCACAGTCGGTGCACAGGATGTCATCCCGCTGGGTGAGGAATCCACGGCCCACCAGAGACACAGAGCACTGCATACACGTGAAACACTCACTGTGCCACTGCCGCTCTTCGAACGAGATGTACTTAGCACCTGCCAAGCCTGGACACACACACATAGTTGTTTTACAGTCAAGTACGATGCTGATGAAATTTTTAATTTTAATTTAGAGGCGTATAAAAATAGCCGCCAGATGTAAAGAATGAAAACATACTAGTAATTGGCTTAGTGCAGCCCACGCACTTCTTGGCATACAGATTGCTGAAGCAATCCAGGCAGTATGGGTAGTTTTCTCTCGAGGTAAAGCGCTGACCTGCCAGTTGTCTCTTGCATCCAATGCAAGTGAAACACTCGCGGTGCCAGGGCTTATCGAGATAAGTGACACCCCCAGTTGTAATGGACTACAGAATTGAAAGTGTGGATTTCAGTACAGTACAATAAGTGTTGGACAATATTACACATTTAAAGGAATAGTTCACTCAAAAATTAAAATTCTAACCCGATCTCATGAGAAAACACAACTTTAACCACCAATTCCTTAAAGCGTAAAATAGAGTAAAATGAGTTGATGGGTAGCACTCACGAAGACGATTCAAATAACAGGCTTTATTTGTCACAGTGTCTGGTTGTGTTTCCCTGGGTTATCACTAGAGGTCCTCGTTCTCACGGTGTCATTCACATTACTACAATTCCCAGCATTCTGTTCTGTCACTTATCTGATTATTGCACTCAGCTGTTTCCCATCACCTTGTTAGTTCTGTGTGTATATATTCCCTGTCTGTGTTAGTGTTTGTTACGGAGTCCTTGTTTAATGAACACTTCTGTTCCTGAATGCTGCCTGTTCTTGTTCATGTTTTATGTTCTTGGATTGACTTATCGGATTTTGACCATTTGCCTGGACTGTTGTGAGTACGGATTACCCTTTAATAAATAACTGCTATTGGATCTCTCTCTTCTGTGTGTGTGATTCGTGACAGAAGGACTCCGTCACAAATAGAGATCCAGCGTTATGGAGGTTCGTATCCTTCCCCCTAAGACGGAGAAGGAGAGGAGGGGACGAGTTCAAATGTTGAGAGAGCTACGCCAGCAGGGCCGGCCAGTGGGTTGTCTGGCGCAGGCCTTTTGGACTCTCTCGAGAGGTATGGGCTATAATGAGGGTACATTGAAGAATTTGTTTAATACCTGTCTTAATGACCCATTGCCTGGGTGGGAGATGAAGGGGCTGGAGATCTTAGACTTTTGGGATTCACCAGTTACCTTCATCATCGGAGTCAGTGGGATACACCAGTCACATCTGTGTCTCAGGACAAGATGACCGCAAGACCATTGCCGGAGATTGAAGCTTCCCCCGAGGTGGTGGGATCGATGCCACCGTCTTGCCAACGTAGGAGGAGGCGGAGGAAACACACGTCTGCCGATCCAGAGAGTGTTTACGTCACGTCGGCCGATCCAGAGACTGTTCACGTCCCGGAGACCGTCCCCGAGCAACCCGCTCTGCCAGTTCCACCCAAGCTGCTCGCCTTGCCAGACCCGCCTGAACTGCTTGCCCTCCGGGCCCCGCCCGAGCGACTTGCCCTGCCGGTTCCGCCTGGGCTGCTCACCCTGCCATCTCCACTCCGTAGGCCAGGGCCGGAGTCTGTTCCTGAGCCTGAGCCAGCGTCTGTTCCCGAGCCGGAGCCAGTGCTCCTGAGACCCATTCTCGGGGACGTTGTCGGACTACTTCGAGCGTCTGGCCAGAATCCTGGAGATGCCTTTTGGACCTGTCGTGCCCGTAGTTGTCCCTGAGCCGGAGCCGGTGTTTGTTCCTGAGCCAGTTCCGGTGTCTGTTCCTGAGCCGGAGCCAGTGTCTGTTCCGGAGCCAGTGCCAGTGTCTGTTCCGGAGCCAGTGCCAGTGTCTGTTCCGGAGCCAGTGCCAGTGTCTGTTCCGGAGCCAGTGCCAGTGCCAGTGTCTGTTCCGGAGCCGGAGCCAGTGCCAGTGTCTGTTCCCGAGCCGGAGCCAGTGCCAGTGTCTGTTCCCGAGCCGGAGCCAGTGCCAGTGTCTGTTCCCGAGCCGGAGCCAGTGCCAGTGTCTGTTCCCGAGCCGGAGCCAGTGCCAGTGTCTGTTCCCGAGCCGGAGCCAGTGCCAGTGTCTGTTCCCGAGCCGGAGCCAGTGCCAGTGTCTGTTCCCGAGCCGGAGCCAGTGCCAGTGTCTGTTCCCGAGCCGGAGCCAGTGCCAGTGTCTGTTCCCGAGCCGGAGCCAGTGCCAGTGTCTGTTCCCGAGCCGGAGCCAGTGCCAGTGTCTGTTCCCGAGCCGGAGCCAGTGCCAGTGTCTGCTGTTCCCGAGCCGGAGCCAGTGTCTGCTGTTCCCGAGCCGGAGCCAGTGTCTGCTGTTCCCAAGCCGGAGCCAGTGTCTGCTGTTCCTGAGCCAATGTTTGTTTCTGTGTTTGTGTCTGTCCTTGTGGCTGTTACTGTTCTGGTGTCTGTTCCTGAGCCGGTCTCTGTTCCTGAGCCGTGGCCGCCCGAGGGGTCTGTTGCTGTTCCTGAGTCGGGTTCTGTTCCTGTGCCGTGGTCGTCTTCGCCCTGGTCGTCACCGCCCTGGCCGCCCGAGGGGTCTTCACCGCCCTGGCCGCCCGAGGGGTCTGTTGCTGTTCCTGAGCCGGGTTCTGTTCCTGTGCCGTGGTCGCCCGAGTGGTCGTCTTCGCCCTGGTCTTCACCGCCGTGGCCGCCCGAGGGGTCTTCACCGCCGTGGCCGCCCGAGGGGTCTTCACCGCCGTGGCCGCCCGAGGGGTCTTCACCGCCGTGGCCGCCCGAGGGGTCTTCAACACCGTGGCCGCCCGATGGACTGTCGTCTTCACCCTGGTCGTATGCACAGCCTGCTCCGCCCTGGCTGCCCGAGGGGTTGTCTCCGCCCTGGCCGCCTGATAGACTGTCTGTCTCGCCCTGGTCGTCGGCTGAGCCATCACCCCCTGTTCTTGTTCCCCTTCCTGGTCCTGGCCCTCCCATCCCTCCCTTGGATTTCCCACATTCCACCTTCCTCTTGGACTCTTGTGTTGTCTTGTGTACTGTCATGGAGCGTCTGGTAGCCGCTCCGTAGAGGGGAGGTTCTGTCACAGTGTCTGGTTGTGTTTCCCTGGGTTATCACTAGAGGTCCTCGTTCTCACGGTGTCATTCACATTAGACTACAATTCCCAGCATTCTGTTCTGTCACTTATCTGATTATTGCACTCAGCTGTTTCCCATCACCTTGTTAGTTCTGTGTGTATATATTCCCTGTCTGTGTTAGTGTTTGTTACGGAGTCCTTGTTTAATGTCCGCACACTTCTGTTCCTGAATGCTGCCTGTTCTTGTTCATGTTTTATGTTCTTGGATTGACTTATCGGATTTTGACCATTTGCCTGGACTGTTGTGAGTACGGATTACCCTTTAATAAATAACTGCTATTGGATCTCTCTCTTCTGTGTGTGATTCGTGACATTATTAAACCTCCAAAATCTCAGGAGATCACAGGAACAAACCCCTTTCTACACAGACGAGAACCGACAGAGAACGGAACTGAACCAGGGATATAAATACTCGGGAGGTAACAGGAGAACTCAGTTAGACACATGGTGATAATCAGTAACTAAGGGAACAAACTAGTACACAATAGAGCTGAACCCGAAATTGCCCCCTATATCATCAAATAGGGCATTATTTCAGGGGACAGCTATTTGTAGTGGTGTCCAAAACCATAGTGGACGTTGAGTGCACTCATTCTATCCCACAATGCACCGCAATAACGAGTATACAACCGATGTACACTCAATGGCTGTCCGAATTCGCTCGCTCGTTTTTATTCACTCCTTCAAGTGAACTGTATTAGTGTACTAACGTAGGGAATAGCGACTGAGGGTTAGGGTTGGGGTCAACCTACAATGACGGGGAACTGGGAGGGAAAACTGAGCCAACACACAATGAAACTAAACAACTGTAATAATGAAAATGAAATGTAATAACATGAGAGTTTCAAAAACATTCTGTCATTAACTATGTTTCCATCTAAATTTGTGAATTTAACTTATGTGCAAAATTGGAATGTGACAAAACATTTGCGAATAAAAGCACCATTTGTGTTCAGGAGAACAATACTGTCTCTTCCTGGGAAATTGGCGCAAAATATCTGTAATAAAAATGTAAGTTACTGCACATGGGGAAGCAACTGTGGCTCAATAAATGCTGTCATGTTATTTTACTTTTGAAGGTGGATGCCTGTTTGGAAATGCAATCATGCACTATAAAAAAAAAAGCGATCAGTTGACTTAAATTAAAAAAGTGAGGAAACCCAGTGCCTTAAAAATATTAAGTAAATAAACTTAATGCGTATTGAAAAAATTAAGTTAAAAAATGACCATAACTTAATGAAGCTTATTTACTTAATTTTAAGGCAAAAGGTTTCCTCACTTTTTTTTAAGTTAAGTCATCTGATCACTTTTTACAGTGTGTGAGACAGTTCTGGGAGGTAAAATATACCCCAGCACATGTCTTCTTATCGGATAAAAAAAAGATCTGCCTCAATTGAGTGTATTGAATGTCATTTTTTTAATGCATGCATTTCCATTTAGCCTTTTTTGTAAATGCGATATCCCAAAATTTGCAATCAGCAATTTTTTACTCATGTTGAACCTATGTACTGCTTGCTCATTTCAATGCAATTGCAATAAATGGGGACAAAGCTTTCATGGTTGAAGAAAAATGCAAAAGCACTATAAAATATTATGGAAGTACAGTCCATACAATTCATGCACTAAATGCCATATTTTTTGGTGCGAAATGAGAGCTTTGTGTGAGAATCTGGCTATGTTTGTGGTGCTTTTGCATGCTTTTTGAATCTCAAAAGCCCCAGTTGCATGAAAAAATTACTAGTGCATTTTTCTTTTCCAAAACATTTTTCTTTTCCTTTTGTATTTCACATTAGAAATACAGCCATACTGGTTTGGAACAACATGAGGGTAGGCGAGTCATTTTTGGCTAAACTATAACTTTAAAGAACTGTAATATTGTTTTTCAAATGTCTGATTCCTTGCAAGCATATGTGACTTACTTTTTTACAAGCACAGCACTGGTAGGCGAATTGCTTCTCAAAACAAGGGACACAGAAGTAATTGTTATCTTTAGGGATGAAGGACTTGGTTCCTATTGGCTGCTGACAGCGTTGACACAGAAAGCATGTCTCATGCCAGCTGTTCCCTTTGTACTCCATTTTTCGTGATCCTAACACATGAGCAGAAGGCCAGATTTTTACACTGAGATCCATAACATATAGTTAGAATTCTATTTTTCAAAACAGATAAAGATACAAAGCGTTTTACCTGGCATGATAGTCTTCTTGCAGGTGCTGCACTTGGAAGAATACTCATGAGAATAGCACTCGGTGCAAAGCATAAGGTCATCTTTAGCAGCAAATGGTTTTTCCACCAATGATCGACTGCATTTGGCGCACTTGAAGCAGTTTTCATGCCAGTGCCGGTCCTTGTAGGAAAGGTCCTTCATTATGCATGCAGAGAAAGTCTGGTTAGAAGCTTGCAAATCTGTTCTGACTTTCTGTCACTCATTTTAAGTCTTTATTAATTGCTCTCACAAACTTTTGGTTCAGTTGCATTAAAAAAATTGGTTTAATGCAATTAGTTTCATTTTCAAATGTACTGTAAATGTGTGAATCGTGATGGCGGGAATTGTTTTCCAATGCCTACCTTACAGTTGCACCCAATCGGCAAAGAACACACCTCACAGCAGTTAGCAAACAGATTCTCATAGCATTTCGTGCAATATTGTGTGTCCTCCTTAAGGATGTATTTCTTTCCGAGCAAAGTGTCCTTGCAGTAATGGCAGTCAAATCGTTCCGTAGACATCGTTGTTTATGTCTTAAAAGCAGTAAACAGAACCATAAAAATGTTACAACATACCAGGCTAAAGCAATCAGAGAGGTGTCATCCACAAAATACGAACGCCACTTAAAATAGACGCAACACGGTAAAATGATGGCCTCTGCAAACTAGGTTCCTTCTGTAGCATCTTAAACCACCTTGAAGATATCAGAAGAGCAGACTGCCATTTGTAATAGTGAGTAAAACAAACCTTCAGTTACTCAATGAGCTTCTGAGGGGCTGCAGGGAGAGACGGCCAGTGATTGAGTGGATGCATTAAAATGACCCTCTATAAATACGAGTGCTCTTATTAGCTGAAATCCCTGGGGAGATTGGTCCAGTTGCTTATCTCTGCACCTTTTATGGGAGTCCAATCACAACACATGCCTTATGGTCAAGATGATAAGTGAATGGTGCCACTGAAATGTTATTCCCTTTGTGTACTCTTAAATCAGTGATTGGACTCTGAGACCTTTGGACAAGTACTTCTCTTTACATATCCTGTAAGACTTACAGAAATCATAATTTTAGCCAAATGAATTTGTCGAATGAATCTTTAACACAGTTACAATACTTTGTGTCTCACATATCAGTGAAATTAGTGATTGCTCTGACCTCAGATACCTGATATCTTACTGTATCCACATCTGAGCCCTCAAGCAACTGCTGAAGGCTTAGAGAGAGTTGAAAGTAAATGTTGCAGTGATTGCCACTAAAATTGCTTTGGGTTGATTGGACCTCTGTTTACAAGATATATGAAGCAATTTCCACAACTTAACAGGTTTCACACAGGGGGTTTCTGTTTCTGTTAAATGCCTTAAAATTTCATCTAGAGTTGGTTCATAGGGTATACATGATATGTTCCGTCATTCTAGAGTTTTTTAAATAGGTTTTTGGTTAAATGGTCTGTGGCACACGATAATGCTCACAAGCACACGATATTTTCACATTTTATTCTACATAAAATACATGCCCTCTAGTAATTTTTTTAAGCTTTTGCAAAAGCGGTTGCTAACAAGTGGCTAAATGGGACTACAGAGGTCATCTGGGACATTAAACATCATTATAGTGTTTACAAAAACACTTTTGCCTACTATTCTAACAAATTCTTGAATACTTTTTTTATAAATAAAGTTGAAGTCATGGAACTATGGTGTAGTTTGTTTGTATAGTTCGCCTAAGCGATTGTATTTAAGTTTCAAAATTCATAAAAGTTGCAGTTATTTATGAAAATTATCGTGATGAACAAAGCATGTAAGAATCATAAATGTCCCAATATATCATGTCGCAATATATTGCAAAAATGCAACAATATGTGTCGTGCATAGTGACAATCTGTATTGTGTAGAGTTCAAATAAAATAAAAAATTACTGTGTGAGAAAAAAATTCAAGTTTACAGAGTTTTAGTGTCAGTGACATATCTAGTCAGTGACAGAGTACAAGCATATTTGTCTAAAATAATTCTGCATTGTCAGCTTCAGAATGAATATTTTTATTCTGGTGTCACCATTGTCCAGTACATTGGGTTACCAGCGCCTATTCATTTCCACCCCCAATGTGTCACGGGTTGGTTCAGAGAAGACAGACGAAGAACGTAGTAAACACTTTCTTTAATGTAGATACGCAGGATACACAGGAACAGGTGAGACAGCGTGTCGAACACAAACAATACCGGACACTGAACTGAAGACAGGCAGGAACTAAATACACAGAGATGAGCGCAAATGACAGGCAGCTGTGAGGGAGGTAATCACTGTCCAATGTAATAGATTGTGGCGGGAAACACAGACAGGGGAACACACGTGACCAATCAAAACAAAGTGAAAGTCAAAAAGAGCCTAGTGGTGACATAACGCCCCCCTCCGGCAAGGCGCGTCCTCCCGCCGTAACGCAAAGATGGAGGGAGGACCAGAGGAGGTTCTGGCGGTGGACGAGGTGATGAAGAAGTGCAGGAGAGAGGCTGGAGTGGCAGGATGGTGAAGGGATGACGACGAATCCCTGACGGCACAGATGGAGATGGCCTGGTGGCGCAGACCCAGAGCCATCCAGTACAGACAGCCCACGACCGAGTAGAAGGAGGGAAGAGACCAGGTGGCGAAGAGGCTGACGGCAACTGGAAGATGATCGACGGAGACTTGGCAGCAGGGTCCATCGGCGCAGACGGAGAGCCGGTGGACTCCAACGACGTCGCTGGACAGGGAGACCCCGTGGCGGAGGCAGAGTGACGACTGACCAAGGGGGAGCCGGCAGGACGAGGGAACCCGATGTAGCCGATAGTTCGAGGGTCTCTGGTGGAGGCGCAGGTGGGAGGAACCAAGACGGAGCCGGCAGGTCGACAGGCCGAGATGGAGTGCAGAGGACCGAGGCTGGAGGCGGAGCCACGAGATCCTTATGCCCGGGTGCTGTGGATGGATGGCTGACTTGCGACTCGACGTCAGGGACCCTCCCCAGAGACGATGTAGGGCAGTGAACATCCAGCAGCGGCGGGGCTGGAGGACTGGCTGAGCTTTGTGGTGAGATGGTACTTGAAAGGTCGATGACAGGGCAGATACAGTCACTGGATTGGTTTGAAAACGACGAAGATACAGATGACGGGTGGGATAGGCTGGGAAACGGTGCTTCTTCAGAAAAATCTATCAGCCAGTCCTCATTTTCCTTCGATTGGGTTCCCTCGTCTACAGATGTCGTGGGCTCACACCCCTGGTCAGACTCCTGTTGGGGCTCTTCCTCCGGGGCGAGGGTCAGCTCTGTCCTCTTTATCTCAGGCTCTGGCTGATGCGTCGCGGCGGGTGGTAGCTCTCCGTCTGTGGGGGGCGCGCACGAGTTCTCCACGGTCGAGGGTGGTAATCCGGGCTCTGGGTCTGGCTGTGTTCTGGATCGGGGTGCGACGCTCTCCAGACACCTGATGATGGTCTCCTTCCAGTTCAGGTTAGAGGTGTCTGGCAGGTCTATCGGGTGGTGGAAGTTCGCCCCGATCCAGAACAGGGTCTTCAGGGTTTCATGACTGCAAGATAAATGAAGTTCGTGGAGAAAGACAAAAAAATCCTGGCTCTTCTGAGCTAGGATGATGAAGTCAATATTCTCCATTGTGGGTCCGGTATTCTGTCACTGGTTGGTTCAGAGAAGACAGACGAAGAACATAGTAAACACTTTCTTTAATGTAGATACTCAGAATACACAGGAACAGGTGAGACAGCGTGTCTAACTCAAACAATACCGGACACTGAACTGAAGACAGGCAGGAACTAAATACACAGAGATGAGCGCAAATGACAGGCAGCTGTGAGGGAGGTAATCACTGTCCAATGTAATAGATTGTGGCAGGAAACACAGACAGGGGAACACACGTGACCAATCAAAACAAAGTGAAAGTCAAAAAGAGCCTAGTGGTGACAGAATGTAATACCAAATTTAGCATTTTAATAATGCATTTTTTGTTAACCTTTTATCATATGTCTTGGAGTATCGCAATAATATCGTATTGTTCAGTATCGTGATATGTATCGAATCGGGACATGAGGGTATCGTTACACCCATAATCAAACTTTTGTTGGTCAGATATTTTTTTTTCTGAAATATTCTTTGTTCTTTGTAGGTTCTCAGATGGCATCAGGCTGTTTAAGGCTTATACAACTTTATTAAGCTTATATATAACTTATTTTATACTTTTAGACAAGCCTGTTTTTAAGACCGTTTTAACATCCAAAGATGTTTTTTCTATTGTCTTTATTTCTTTTTTTTTCTTTTTTTCTTTTTTTTTGCTGTGATACTTGTGGAAAGTTTGCAGTAATCTGATATATACATTACATATAAAGAATCATAATGAACAGATCCATTTTGTTTGCAGTATTTTGCACTTGACACTTGAGCTGCATCCAGATAATTAGCTGAGTTTGTAGTCATATCATTTATCAAGAGAGTGAGAGAAATGATCTCGGTGCAAAAATAGCTCAGAAGATCACCGGTTAAAGAACTTAATCCATCATGCATGCAAATAGGGAGGCATGCACATAATCTTCAAAATCCTGTTTCAAATCCTGGTGAATGAACAGAAACACTGCATTCATTTCTTGGTGATTTATTCAGTGTTATGATATTCAGTTCACAGGATTCTTCTTTGCAAAAGTGTCTTTTAAAGTAAAGTGTCCTGGATGCCAAAAACAACAGTTTGGAGAACTGCATGCCACAATTACGTAACTCTTGACAGCAGTATTTTGGGTCTCATTATCTTTCCCAAGCGTTCATGTCTGTCTTTTTGTTCTCTTTACCAGGTGTCAACATGACCTGCTAGATGTTTGAATTGATGAACATCCGTCACCAGGGGTTTTAAAGCTCAGAGCATGGCTGTTGCGACCACTAGATTAACCTCCAACTGCATGCGCAGTTAGCAGCTCATCTCAGAATAAACAAACTTGCACAGACTTTTGGTTGCTAGGCATCCCAGAGCATGCAGCACGTTTGTCTGAAACTAGACAAAAGAGTCCAGATTAAAATGTGTGTATGTTTATACGTAATTGTGTGATTTCAAAGATTAAAAGAAAAATATTCAAGTACCTGAAAGCAAGCATTTTTAGCTTTTAATGCATCAGTGCTTTATCATTTTTTATTTTATTGTTTACTTTTAGTTATTTTAGTACTTCAACTTGCACTTTTTTCGGTTAGTTGGCAATGGAATATTTATAATTCAGGTTTTTAGGTTTAAAATGTTCATCTAATATTTTTATTTATGTTATTTCAGCTTTATTTCAATTAACAAAAAGTTATATATATATATGCAAAATATCTCACACTTGTGAACCCCATTGCATGTACAACAGAACAATGCATTTGCAATGTGTTGTACTAATATTCATTCTCTGGCCTTAGTGCATCTAGAAAACATGTGATCATTTTAACAAACTTTTTTTTCCCTGTTACTGAAACGATGAGCCCATTTTACAATGGTATACTTACCAACAATCTATTTCATCTGTTGTGACACATCTGCTGTAAAATCTGCTGATCTGACACTGATTATAAGAAGGCATCTCTTCGGCTACTTCATTCTCACACATTTTACTCAGGACTAAGATGCTTAACAAAGTGTTGACAGCATAAGTGGAGTCATTGGGTTGAGATCAGGTGGCCTTTACAGCAATAAGTGGTCTCACACCATTCAGTTTCTCTGAGTTGACGATTGCCGTTCCCAGCTGCTCCAAACAGGCAAGCCTCTGCAGAGCTCTCAGTTGGAAATAAGATAGGCTTGGTGGACAAAGAGACAAAGAGGCAAAATCGCAAACCCTATGATCTTGCAGAACT